AGTCAGCAGACTTTCACTGCTTTGGACACTATGTGGCCTTTCCTGTCAGGAGTGTAACTTAAAATGTCTGAAAAATCATCATCATGAAGATTCGCATGACTGTTTGACTGACCATAATTGTTATGCTACTTGTGAATTCGTTGGAGTTCATACGAATGGCCTATTTCCAAGATGTAGTCACAAAGCAGGACATGATGGAAAACATGCATGCAATACGGTAATTAATCAAAAAGCAAAAAATCAAATACAGTCGAATCTTGCAATGGTCACACCAGCATTTGTCGCAATCTTGTTATAATTAATTGTCGTGGTTGAAATTGTAAATGGCTGAAGCTGGAAATATTAAATATTTTAATATGAAAATTTCAAAATTTTTTGGGATGCATTTTTTTTAGCTTTTTTTAATAGTTAGCTTAGAATTTTCAGTTAATTTTGATAATAAAAAAAATAAAAATGTATAATGGATTTTGGGAGGTTTTATATTTTCGAATCGAGGTCCCTAATTTCCAACTTCAGCCGTTTCCAGTTTCAGCTGCGACATTAATTTTCTGCCGGAACATATATGAGATTTTTGTTCGTATTAGTCACAACCCTGCGATAGGCACATAGATATCCTAATTTTAATATTTGACTGTTGCGGGAGATGACTGTAAACTTTACCCATTTGGGTAACTAAACTTGAATCAAATATTTTCATTTTTGATAAATCTTCTGAATTTATAAATAGGCAAGTCATCTATGTGGCAAACGATGTAAATTTAGTGACAAACGTAATTGTCAAACAAAATGTGCAAAAGAAATTGACCATGATGATGAACATATATGTCAATCAAAACGTCATAATTGTGGTGCACCTTGTTCTTTGCAAGCCAATACTAAGAAGGGTTCTTATAAATGTCCTAACAAATGTATCATTCCGTGTGAAGATGAGCATGAACGACATTGCTGTGAAAATGATTCTGCATGTCCAATTCAATGTCTAATTCCTGATTGTCAACGACGATGTCAATGTACAGATCATTTTCATGCTTTGCAATCGCAACAGATTCATTTTTGTGGGTATGTACTTGTGAAAAATGTTTTACAGCATTTATATGATTCCATTTGAATCATGCTTCATATTATATTGCAAAAAGTAATGAGCATCAATGCCAAGAAGATTGTCAAGAGTTAGGTATTTGCAGAGTATTAACTGAACCGAGAAAACAAGAAGAAGTTTATCAAGGTTTAGTTCAAGAGACTTCTATTACATTCACTAAGGTATGATTTAAATAGTTTTGGAATTATTTTTTTATTTTTAAAATTATGATCATAATGATATTATTATTGCACAGTATATTCAATTGAGTGAAAGAATTAAATGCTGCAAGAAAATTCCACCTAATGCCTTTCATCATGATGGTAAACATACTCATGATGAAGGCGGCTTTCATTATTGTGACGCCCAATGTAAGAATATATTTTTGAATTTGTGTATGAAATCTAATTTAACTTATTCATTTAACGAATTTTCATTATGAAATATTATATAGGCCCATTTTGTAAATACTATGTATGTTATATTTCAGATATTTGTTGAAAATACCTTTTAATTAATAAGCTAATTGACCATTGTTCTAGTGCACTTTACCCTATGGTCATTTACAGCCGCTACATGATACTAAACATGGAAGTATGATTCAGATAGAATTTATTTCAGAAGATAAAGAATTCGAATATAGAGAGTACTTATATTAACAATTTCCTTTATATGTGCGTAAACTATGCCAGATTAATAATATTTTAATATTATTTATATACAAAGCCATAAACTGAGTGCAGGTGATCACGGAACATTTGTACTTTGTAACTTGGTAAGTTGTTTTCAACAGTACATAGACTATTTTGATCATTTATTCTAATTAATGTTTATATTATATATTATAGTACTGCAAGGAAATTGGACGCCATCGTCATATAGATTATTGTCAAGATTCTTCAACATGTAAATCCAATGCAAATAAGCAACATATTGATGGTAAAAATTATATTATTTGTCCTTTTTTTATTTGATCTATTCTTATGCGCCCTAAAATTTTAGTCAATGTTGAACCTCATCCGGACAAGCCGAAAGATTATATTTCTCATAAGCTTTTTTGGGAGCGTACAGGATTTAAGGGTATATATAATTTCAGAAGCATGATTTTGCAATATATAATATAGTTACTTAAAGAATTTTTATAGATCCCTATTCAGTTCAAGAACAAGAAATGTTTGAAAAATGTGATCATGAGTGTGCTGATGAAATACATCAGCCAACGAAAGGATCTAACATTATACCTAACAGATCATTTTGTGAATTACCGTTGTTTCATGCACCTCTTAAATTATCTGATGCGCCACCAAATGGTATTGGATATATTTCCCTTGGTGGACACTACTTTACATGTGACAACCCTGCAAAAAAGGAAGGCTCATTTCATATCATTTTTACAATTGATCGATCTGGATCTATGAGTAGTACTGATAAAAAACCACTTTCAAATACACCTGTTTATAATCTTTTAATAGCACAGCATAACAACAGGATGGGTGCTGTGTATAGAGCTGTAAATATTTGTTTTTTTTCCCTAACAGAGGATTTCTTCAGACACTTGATGTTTTCCTAAATTAAATATTAATTTTAAAAATTTTTATATAATTGGAAAGATTTATTCATTTATGGAAGCAAGGCTGGCCGCACAAGCACGGTCACAATTACATTCCACTAATAAGGATACTGTATCACTGATTCTTTTCGATCATGAAGTTATTGTGCCATTTGAAAATCATGTGTTAACGGATTCTAAGACGATGCTAAACCAAATGTTACCACATGGTGCAAGGGGTGGGACTGACTTTAACCTAGCAATTCAAAAAGCAGGAAGTTTAATTAATAACTATTTTGATCCGGCAAGGTATTGAATTTAAACATTATCATTCATTGTATTCTCTTAAGTCATTGCTTTACAAAAAATTATTAATTTCAGAGCGAATGTAATTATATTTCTTTCTGATGGTGGATGTAGGACACCGAAAAGTCAGCTTGAAGAAATTTGTAAATATAATAGTGATAAAGGGTAAATAAATTTTGAAATAATATCTTTCAAATCGTATATTTCTAATGTCTTAAAATGCTATTTAATAATTTTAAATTAGAAACCCATTATATCTTATAACTGTTTTATATGCTGGTGGAAGTGATAATCCTTCTTTAAGAGAAATGGCCGAGATTGCTGGCCGATATAATCCGGCAAACAAGATTGGAAATGCTTTACGTTGTCACTTTACTAGCACTATGAGTGAGATTAATTTAGTCAATACATTTACTGGTGTTGCAGAAAGTTTGAGAGCGCATAATCCTTCATTGATGAAAAAACTTTAGTTCATTCTGCACGTTATTTTGTTTATTTATTTTATTTATTATTACTTATTGATTAGTTATTTTGATCAGTTTATTGAATATATACGAAATATTGATTAGTTTTAAATTTAATTTAAAATGCCTATATTTGTGAAAATTTTCTTTGAGATTTAGGGACATAATGGCGTGGGCCTTTATTGATGACTCTTCTGATTACGTAAGTTTGCGAACAGATTTATAACTATATTTATGATTTATTTATTTACTCAAAAGCTGAAAAACAGGCATCTCGGTCTGCTCTACCTGCCATCCAAAATCCTGACAGTCTATAATCTCGACATCATAATCCTGACAGACAGAATTCTGACAAGTCAAAATCTTGACAAATCAAAGTTCTGACAATGACAAATCTTGACAATGATAAAATCTTAATAGTTAAAAATCCTGATAGTCTATAATTCTGATTCATATAATTTCAACAACAGATAAAGAATTCTGACAAGCTAAGAACTTGACAAATCAAAATTTTAACAATTATAAAATCTTGACAGTTCAAAATTCTGACAAACTAAGAACTTGACAATCAAAATTTTAACAATAATAAAATCTTGACAGTTCAAAATCCTGAATTGTTGAATTTTTTAAATTTAGGCTACAATAGATTTACTTATAGTGTTCCGCACGGATCGGATCGGACGGATATTTTTAAAGATCCGGATCCGATCCGAAAAACCGGATCGAATCCAAGTTCAGATCCGAATCTGGATAAGAAAGATCCGGACCCGGATCCGGATCCGATAAAAAAAATTGTGTACTAACGTTTTCTTAAAGTATACACTTATTTATATAATTGCTTCGATAT